AAGGTTTGTTTTGAAAACCTTTCTGAGACCAGAAGAGTGACTTTGAGTTTCACAAGACAAGTGACAATCTGTCTTGTTCACCTCAATATCCCCGGTCACTGAGCTGGATGTGAACACGTATTCACCTAAATTTAAGATTCCTGCACTTTTCAGTACTAGTCTGTATCACTATACCCATACTCCAGGCAAAAAGTTTACTTCACTGCAGCAAAAGGTAAAACTGAAAACTGAAGGACATCAGAGAAGAGTCAGGATAGAGTGAAGGGGCCTTAATCTTAGGCCACCTCTGTCTTTACCCTCCTCATCCTCTCTCCTTTCCCCCTTCTTTCAGGTTTCATCACATTCTTCTCCCTCCCTCCCTTCCTCTTCCTCCCCCTTGTTCTCCCTCTTGACTCTAAGTCTCTGGCGACATCTCTGCTTACCCCCCTGTGGTAAGACCCCAAGTTGCAGCCCAGAAGGCTTGTAACGTCGAGGGGATCTGTCCTCCCGGCTACTTGTAATGCCACCTCTATGCCTTGGTCTTTTTCTGGGACTTTTGTTCTTCTATATTAGTTTATTTCCTTATCTACTCCAATGCAAATTGTCTTCCTATAATTACATTAGACACATTAATATATGATTTATTAACACTTGGTGAGCCTGAATCATTGTGAAAATTTCTATAAAAATCCTATTGGGATTTTGTTTTTTAAAAAAACTGTGACTTCTTGGGTTATTTTAGGGTAGAACTGGAATTTTTTAAAAATTATTCTCCTCTATTAATATGGTGTATGAGTCCATAGATTCAGGTTTTCTATTAAATTATATGTGTTTTATAGTTTCCTTGATAATTGTTTTTGCAGACAGTGATAGTAAAACTATAAATAAAAATAATTAATGATAAATTCAGGATGTAGCTTATTTGGGAAGGCGAGGACACAGAAGACAATGGAGAGGAACATGTATTTTTTGTTGTTGTTGTTAATCCTTACCTAAGGATTTCTATCCACTGAATTTTAGAGAGAGTGGAAAGGAGGGGGAGAGACACACTGAGAGAAACATTGATTTGAGAGAGATACATTGATTGGTTGCCTTCTGCATGCCCGAATCAGGGCTGGGCATTGAGCCTGCAACAACTGAGGTATGTGCCCTTAACCAGAATAAAACCTGGGATCCTTCAGTCCTCAGGCTGATGCTCTAGCCACTGAGCCAAACCAGCTAGGGCAGAGGGACACCTGTTTTTGATTTTTGGGTTCTTTCTTCTTCAGGGTTATTTTGAACTAGTGGCTGGGTGCCTGAAATACATGCATGGGTAGGGAGGGTCCTTAGGCCTGAGTGGTGATCAGGGCCAATCGGGGCCATCCTTCACCTGGCTGCCAGGCTGCTGGCCAGGGCCTTACTTCTTTCCACACCGCCCCTTGGTGGTCAGGGAACATCATAGCGGGTGGTTTAACTCCCAGGGGGTCAAACTCCCTAGGGGACAATTTGCATATTAGCTTTTTATTATCTAGGACTAGAAGCCCAGTGCACGAATTTCTGCATGGGTTGGGTGTGGCCGGCCTGGCCCCAATAGTGGCGGATTGAGGCCAGGCCTGTAAGGAGAAGGAGACGGTGGGAGGTTGGCTGACTGGCCCACCATGATTAGGCCCATCAGGGCCGGGCCAGCTGGGAGGAGGGGCCATGGGTGATTGGCTAGTGGGACCCACCCCTGATTGGTGTGGGGGCAATCCGGAGCAGATTTGACTCAGGGAAGGGGTCAGGAGGCAATTGGGGTGGTGGGGTCAGACTGGGTGTGGGGCCAACTGGGGAGGGGATATGAGTGGTTGGCCAACTGGCCCTGCCCCCAAATGGGGTTAGGGGTCCAATCAGGAGCCAGTGGCTTGGGGGAGGGGCAATGGATGGTTGGCCGGCTGCCCCTGCCCCTGATCAGAGTAGGGGGGGGGGCTGATCAGGGGCAGAGCTGGCTAGGGGGAGGGGCCATGG